CCCAGAGGTGGCTGCGTTTGTGGGCCGGGCGACGGGCATCCCGGCCGGGCGGCGTCACCCATTGTCCAGACGGCGCCAGGTGGCCCTGCTGGAGGGGAAGGGACTGGGCCGGGGCTGGTGGAATCTGCTGCTGGTTAATAATTTGCCACTTCCCCAGGACTCCACCCTGCCCCTCCCCTGGCGGACAGGCTCCTGGGCAGCGTTTCCAGCCTGCCAACCCCCTCCCCTCCCCGCTTGTGAAGTCTGTTCCCTGGCCAGTGCCAGCCAAGCCCCTGGAGAAAATCTTTGTTCCCATCCGCCCCCCCGAGGGAGATGCGGGGCTGCGGGAGCGCCCCAGGATTGCCCCGAGTTCCTGGGGCTGCCCCAGGGCACAGCTGTGAGCCCCCCCGCTCATTGCCCATGGTGTCATACCCGGCCCCGTGCCAGGAGGTCCCTAGGGGAGTCACACTCAGACCCTGCGTGGTGGGACCAGGAGTCTGCCCCTCGCCCTGCTGCTCCAAGGGGGTCGCTCGGTACCCCACGAACACACCCACCCCTGAGGGCAGCCAGCACTAACCAGCCCCCCCCCCCATCTGTCCCACGCTCAGCGTCTCTGGTGAGGCCAGCGCAGGGTCCACTGCCCTCTGCCCCTCCAGGGTCCCGGCGGGGCAGGCGGGTGGCGTACCCCTGGCTGTGGGCGACGGCCAGAAGGTGCCAGCCGATGTGTCTCAGCCTGTATGGTCGCTCACCAGAGCGGCTGTGATACTGGGGGGGGCTGTGCGGCGTGGGCTGGTTTGTTATTGTAGGGTCTCCCATGGGCTGGGCACACCGGTTGGTTGTGGGGATGCTGGGGAGGGGGGGCAGAGCAGGGGAGGAGCTGCGTGGCTGGGGAGGTTATTGATCAGCCGGGACGTCGGCTGGCGGGAGTCTTGCGAGTGGAACACCTGGATCAGCTGGATCGATCGGTCTTCAGCTGTCGTTGAGACTGCGCCGATCCGTTCTCCTCGCACCCTTGCCTTTCTCCTCCACGTTCGGCCGACACGTTTATCAGCGTCATCTTCCCGTCTCCTTGGAGGCCGACCGGGTGGTCTTTGCTGTTCTCAGCGGTGTTAGGGGAACCACATTTGGTTTCGTGGCTGCACGTGCGTGGGCCGGCGTGGCCGGCGTGGGCCGGCGGGCGGGGTGAGAACCAAACGTCTCTGTCTCCAGGCCAATGGGGGTGGGGGGGGCGTTAATTTTGCAGTTTTCTGTGTCGGCGTTTTGCAGGGATTTGGGGGTTTGGCCGAGCCAATGGCGCCTGGCCTGGCCCGGGGCAGCTCAGCGTCCCCCTCTAGGGGTGAGGCCGGCAGAGGCTGGTGCATTCGGCGCTGCAGGTCCCGGGTTGGAGCCCAGCCGGTGCCCAGCGCGAGGCGTCGTCACAAACCCCAGGGCAGCCCGGGCGGGTTTGACGGGGAAATGCAGCCAGCAAGTCCGAGCCCTGGAGGCCCCGATCTGTGTGTCCGTGTGTGTGTGAGCATGTCCACCTGTGCGTGTGCTTGTGTGTGGGTGTGCCCACGTGTGTGTGCATAAACCTGTCCCTACAGGGGGCCCAGGCCGTGTACACACACACACAGAGCACGCTCTGCAGGGGTGAGTTTGTGGGTGGCCAGCGGCTCTGGCCCCATGGAGGCTGCATTCCTGCGGGCCTCTCTCTAAATATTTGTGCGTTCCCTGCGTCGAGGACACACAATCCCGCCAGCCTGCGTCAGCACTCGCCCGGGTGGTTCCTGCACCAGGCCTGGCTCCCGCCCAGGGCCAGGAAGCGCGGGCTGGCCCGGTGCCAGGAGCTGATCTCGGACCCCAGAGGGGCAGAGGCGGCGAGCTGGGGAGGCCGGGACTGCGGGGGTGTCACCCAGCAGCCACCCACCGACATCCTATCCCCATCGCCCCGGTGCAATGACCCCTCGCCCAGACGTGGCCATGGCTGGCATCTCCGGGGGGCAGCAGGAGGCTGGGTTGGATCCCTGGCTGGCACCGGTCACGCCCGGCCAGGTCCTCATGCCAATGCCAGGGGAGGGCAAGAAATCGGACACTGGGTGAATCGCAGCAGCTCCCGTTCCGTCATCCCCATTGCAGGCAGGGGCACGCGCCAGCCATCAGCTCCTCCAGAGACTTTCCCCTGGGGAGCCAGGCGGGGTAGGGCTGGGCTGGCGTAGAGGGGAGGGAGATGCCAGGGTGATCTGGCGTGGGGGCTCCTGCTCATACAGACTTAGCCACGTGCCCGTGGAATGGCGCGGCTGGCCTGGGTGTGTGTGGGGGGTGTCCTTGGCCTCCTCTCCCCCTCCCCACCCGCTGTGTCCTGGCCACGTGGTCCCTTCAGCTGCGGGAGGGAGGGGCCAGCTGGGATTTCAGGGGCGTGGCTGCAGTGGGGGGGGTGGGAGGCAGGTGCGGGTGGGATTGAGCCCTGTTCGATGGGGCTCTCTCGGCCCAGGTGTGAGCAGCAGACAGGCCCTGGGCACGCGCCGGGTGGATCTGAGCCCCGGGACGGGGCCCATGGCCGGGTTTCAGGCCTGGCTGTCTCTGCCCAGGGGCCAAGCACCTTGTCCTCGCTGCCCGTTGTGCCCAGGGGCTGGGACCCTGCGTGGGGCTGACAGGGCCTGAGCGCTCCACGCAGGCGCCAGAGGCGGCCACGGGGGGTTAATGTGCCTGGGGGTGAGACCGGCAGGGTCACTGGCCCGTTCCCAGCTCGCTGCAGGGCAGTGGGAGGTGGCAGAGGGCAGGTGCCAGCAGCCCCCTGTACCCAGCGCGGCCCGAGCTGCTCCCCTCGCAGCCCCTGCTCGCCCAGTCGGCACCTGCCATGTGGGGCTCAGAGGAGCCTGTGACGAGGGGCTGGGGCTCGCCGGCCCCGGCGCTCTCCCCTGCCGGTTGCCAGCCAGGCTGGCCGGGGCGGCTGGAGTCCGGCAGACGGATCAAAAGGAATCTCGTTATCTCTGGCCGGATTAAGCATGTGTAGCGGTCGCCTCAAGTGGATTATGCAGGAGAGCAGGTTAATCCAGACCTGGAGAGAGACGCGGGGCAGCCGGCCAGCCGGCAAGTGCCGGGCGCCGCACAGGGGTCTGTGGGGATCTGCGGCCCGGAGAGCGAATGGGTGTGTGTGGTGGTGGGGGGCGCTGAGGGGGACGTTGGAGGAGTTGAAGTTGATATTATCAATGCGGGGGCTGCGGCTTGGGAGTGAGGGGCACCGCCCGAGCTGTGGGGGGCAGGGCTGGGCTAGCAGGGGGCTGCGGGTCGAGAGTGAGGGGCGCCGGCAGAGCTGTGGGGGGAGCCCAGGACGGGGATAGCGGGGGGCTGCGGGTCGGGAGTGAGGGGCGCCGGCAGAGCTGTGGGGGGACCCCTGGACAGCGGGGGGCTGCGGGTCGGGAGTGAGGGGCGCCGGCAAAGCTGTGGGGGGACCCCTGGACAGCGGGGGGCTGCGGGTCAGGAGTGAGGGGCGCCGGCAGAGCTGTGGGGGGACCCCTGGACAGCGGGGGGCTGCGGGTCGGGAGTGAGGGGCGCTGGCAGAGCTGTGGGGGGACCCCTGGACAGCGGGGGGCTGTGAGTCAGTAGTGAGGGGCGCTGGCAAAGCTGTGGGGGGACCCCTGGACAGCGGGGGGCTGCGGGTCGGGAGTGAGGGGCGCTGGCAAAGCTGTGGGGGGACCCCTGGACAGCGGGGGGCTGCGGGTCGGGAGTGAGGGGCGCTGGCAAAGCTGTGGGGGGAGCCCAGGAGGGGGATAGCAGTGCAGAGATGAGGTTCCCTGTGGGAGAACCTTGCCCAGTCCTTGGCTCAGTCCCCCCCTTCCACAACAGCGGGGGGGGGGCCGCAGGGGGGCAGGCACCTTGCATTGGGCCTGGCTCTGCCGGGGGAGGGTCCGATGCAGCTGCCCGCAGGGTCCCAGCCTGGTGCCGCGGCCTCTCCCGCTCCCTGCCTTGTGCACCATCCGGGCAGCTTCCCCCTTCCTGAGCCTGTCGCCCTCCTGGCTGTACCCGGGCTGGGGGTGGTGCCCGTCCCCACGGCATCCCGGCTCTGCCTCACACAAGCAGCCGGTGGGAGGCTGGGGGAGGGCTGGGCGCCCGTGGCCCAGTTTGGAGACACTGCGTCTGCCCCGTCCCGTGGACATTTTCTCTCGAGCCCTTGGCCACGCCAGCCCCACACATCACCCCAGAGCCAGGCTGTGTTCCCTGGCCCGTGGGGAAGCAGGGGGCAGGGGCCGTGCAGCTGGATGGGGCCTGGGGAGGGGAGGACGCAACCCACGCGGGCGAGGAACAGGGCGATCCCGAGGAGAGAACCCGCCGGGCGCGGCCTGGGCTCCTGCCAGCGCAGGCAGCAGCTGGAGATGTGGGTGTCACAAAGGGCCAAAACTTGCCCTCGTTTACACCAGGAGTCCTGCCCCCTGCTCTAGCCACTAGACCCCACTGTCCCCCCAGTGCCGGGGATAGAACCCAGGAGTCCTGGCCCCAGCCCCCTGCTCTGGCCGTTCTGCAGGGTGACTTGTCCTGTCCGGCTGGGCGACCGCGGGACTGTAGGGACCGGCTGGGTGGTGGGACCTGGGCCCTTGGGCCGGGGACGGGGGCAGGGGCTGGTCCCCAGGGGCCAACAGCGCCTGGCTTCGTGCTCCTCCCCGCTGCTGGTCCCAGGAGCCAGCCCCCCCCACCCCCCCAGCACATGATGGCCCCAATAGACCCGGATGGTGACCTGGGCGCACCCCCTACCCGACCGTCTCTGGCACCCACCTGCCACACACCCCAGGGCACTTCCCATCCCCCCAGGGTGCCCCCCAAGACCACGCTCAGGCCAGCAGGCAGGGGGAGCCCCAGGCAGCCCTTAGCTCTGCCCCCTATCAGACCCCCGGCCCAGCCTCCCCTCTGGGGGTGGGGGGTGCCCGCCTCCATGGGAGCATGCTGCAGGCAGGCCGGGCACCAGGAGGGGTGCCCGGGGAGGGAGGGGGACTCCGGGGGGGGGGCACGCCGTGTGGATTAACCCCTTCCCCGCCTGTGCCCCGCAGGTGCTCCCAGGCCATCGCCGTCCAAGAAGCCCCGGAACCGCAGCATCTTCCAGTCCCTCTTCTGCTGCCTCTGCCATGAGGCCTCGGACCCCGTCCCGGTCAACAACAACGCCCCGCTGCTGGTGGAGGAGAACGGCGTCGTGCCCAAGGTAGGGGGGCCCCGGAGGCGGACAGGGGGGCCCTTCTCTGGGCGCCCCCCCCGCTCACGAGAATCCTGCTTCCCAGAGATGAGCCCCGCGGCTGGCCTGGCTCGGCGCCCGCCCCTCTGCCCACCTGGCCGTGCCAGGCCCCACAGGGCCTCGCCCCCGGGGAACCCAGCAGCCCGAGTGCCAGAGGCTGCCCAGACGGGCACATGCCCCCCCCCCGTAACCTCTCCCTCCTCGTCCCGGCCCTTCAGGACCCTGTGCCAGGCCTGCCCGCTGACCCGCTTTGGCCCACAGCCCCCCTGGGATGAATGGGGCTGGGGGGGCACCAGGCTCCCACGAGCATCTCCTTTGTTGGAGTTGTTGCCTCTCGCAGCCCCCCACCCCGCCTGTGGGGCCATCGCTCCCATCCCTCCCCCCACAAAAACAGGGATCCCCAAGGGCTCTGGGATCTGCTTTGGGGCAGTTTCCCTCGTGCCCGCCCCCCCCCTTCCCATGGATGATAAAGCTTTGGGAAGGGGCCGGGATTGTGCCCCCCATCAGCTGGGGCAGGGGCAAGCTCCGATGCTGGCACAGCACAGGGCAGAGGCAGAAGCCAATGCTGGGACTGTAGGGGACGGCACCGAGTGGGACCCAGGTGTCCTGGGGAGTGGCAGGGGAAGGGATAGCTCAGTGGTTTGAGCATTGGCCTGCTAAACCCACGGTTCTGAGTTCAATCCTTGAGGGGGCCATTTAGGGATCTGGGGCAAAAATTGGGGATTGGTCCTGCTTTGAGCAGGGGATTGGACTAGATGACCTCCTGAGGTCCCTTCGCCCCCCAAGCCAAAGGCTGTCCCTCCCCCAGGGGTCCCCAGATGCCGGGGCCCAGCCATACTGACCCAGGCCGGGGCAGGGAGTGAGCAGTGACCCTATGCCCCGGCGAAAGTGGAGGGGGGCAGAGTCGAGTCACCCGGGGGAAACTGAGGCTTGGCCTTGGGGGTTGGTGCCCCAAGGCTGGGCAAAGTGCCAGGGGGTTTTAACGGCCACGTGGCCTCAGAATGGGAGTTTGACACCTCAGCTGGAAACCAGTAAATCCCCCAGCCCAGTCCCTGCCAGGGGAGAGCGCCCCCTACTGACCCCCACCCTGCTCCCTGCAGAACATCGCCCCCTAGAGCCCCGTGGGGGCACTGGGGCCAGCCCTGTCTGGGAGGGGAGAGCGCCCCCTGCTGACCCCCACCCTGCTCCCTGCAGAACAGCGCCCCCTAGAGCCCCGCAGGGGCACTGGGGCCAGCCCTGAGTGGGAGGGGAGAGCGCCCCCTGCTGACCCCCACCCTGCTCCCTGCAGAACAGCGCCCCCTAGAGCCCCGCAGGGGCACTGGGGCCAGCCCTGAGTGGGAGGGGAGAGCGCCCCCTGCTGACCCCCACCCTGCTCCCTGCAGAACAGCGCCCCCTAGAGCCCCGCAGGGGCACTGGGGCCAGCCCTGAGTGGGAGGGGAGAGCGCCCCCTGCTGACCCCCACCCTGCTCCCTGCAGAACAGCGCCCCCTAGAGCCCCGCAGGGGCACTGGGGCCAGCCCTGAGTGGGAGGGGAGAGCGCCCCCTGCTGACCCCCACCCTGCTCCCTGCAGAACAGCGCCCCCTAGAGCCCCGCGGGGGCATTGGGGCCAGCCCTGTCTGGGAGGGGAGAGCGCCCCCTGCTGGGGGAGCAGTCGCTCGGCCATGGGCAGGCGCTGTGCGAAGGGCCAGGATTTCCCCAGGGCAGCGTTCTCCTCATCCCCAGGGCGCGCTGGGCCGGCCCGCGATGCCCGGAGCTGGGCAGCCCTGCCCGCGCGGCCCACGTAATCCCCGGTTTTGCTCTAGGCCGATCAGCCCTGACTGCGGCCGCCCCCTTTCGCCGCTCCCCGGCCAGGTTTGAGAGGATTATTGGCTCCAGCGCCCGGGGCAGCCAAAGGCAGCCGGCGCCCTCTGGTGCCTGGCTGCGCCATCGCGGCTCCCCGAGCTGAGCCTGTTCTTCCCAGCCAGGGCCGGCGCAGGGGGCTGCAAGGGGGCTGCACGGTGCCGCCCCCGGGACCCAAGGCCGGTGTGCGCCTGGCGGGCCAGACACGCGTGGCAGCAATCAGGGTTGGCATTGCTGAGGAGCCCCCAGTGCAGCCACCTCTGGGGTGCAGCGCTGCAGCTGGGGAGCAGCCCACGGCAACACCAGCCGGCCGGTCAGAAAGGGCCGAGGGCAGAGGGGCCGGGGCAGCATGTTCCCTACGGCCAGGGCCCACGTTTAACCCCCAAGCAAAGGGGCTCTTCCCCCGACCTGTTCCCCAGTCTAATGGGTCCCTGCTGCTGGGAAGTTTAGGACAGGAAGTGAGAGATCCAGCGGGGGGTGGGCGGGGTGGAGCTGGGCTTGGCCCAGGAGCCCCCATCCCGTGGGCTGGGCAGCCCTGCTCCTCTGGCCGGGACGTGGTGCGGGGCCCTGGGCTCACCCGCCTCCTGGCCCATGGTGCCCACTGCCAGCCGGATACTCCAACCCCCCCACCCCCGTCGCCCTCCCCCAGGCCGCTGTCAAGTACCTCCTGCCCGAGATCAAACCCCAGGACGCCAGCAAGCTGTGCGTGGTCATCGACCTGGACGAGACTCTGGTGCACAGCTCCTTCAAGGTGAGTCCGTGTCCTGGGCCCCCCATCCTCTCTCCCCCCTCCCGGCCTGCCCCTGTGCCCCCCTGTCCTCCCTCCCCCCTCCCGGCCTGCCCCTGTGCCCCCCTGTCCTCCCTCCCCCCTCCCGGCCTGCCTTTGAGCCCCCCGTCTCCCTCCCCTGCCCAGCCTGCCCCTGTGCCACCCACATCCTCCCTCCCCCGCCCCCGGCCTGCCCCTCTGCCCCCCGTCTCCCTTCCCCATCTGGCCTGCTCCTGTGCCCCCCGCATCCTCCGTCCCCCACCCCCGGCCTGCCCCTCTGCCCCCCGTCTCCCTTCCCCGTCTGGCCTGCCCCTGTCTCCCCGCATCCTCCCTCCCCACCCCCAGCCTGCCCCTCTGCCCCCCGCTCCCTTCCCCGTCTGGCCTGCTCCTGTGCCCCCCGCATCCTCCCTCCCCCACCCCCGGCCTGCCCCTCTGCCCCCCGTCTCCCTTCCCCGTCTGGCCTGCTCCTGTGCCCCCCGCATCCTCCCTCCCACACCCCCAGCCTGCCCCTCTGCCCCCCGTCTCCCTTCCCCGTCTGGCCTGCTCCTGTGCCCCCCGCATCCTCCATCCCCTGCCCAGCCTGCCCCCCATGTCCCACCGTCCTCGCTGCCCTGCCCACCCAGTGTCCCACCCCCATGTCCTTCCTCCCTCCCCCGTCCAGCCCATCCCTTCTGCTCCACCCCTACTGTCCTCCACAGGGCCAGGGGAATCCCAGGGGGATGGGGAGGGCATGGCCAGGGGAATCCCAGAGGGGCGTGGCCAGGGGAATCCCAGGGGGATGGGGAGGGCAGGGGAATCCCAGGGGGATGAGGAGGGCGTGGCCAGGGATGGGGGATGAGGGCATGGGTGGGGGAATCCCCAGGTGATGGAAGGGGCCAGGGGATCCAGGGGGACAGCGGGGAGGGGGCCTCCTCCTTCTACCACACTGACGCCTGTTCCCTCCGCAGCCTGTGAACAACGCCGACTTCATCATCCCTGTTGAGATTGACGGCATCATGCACCAGGTAAGGGAGGCGCTCTCGGTCGGGGGGCCCCCACCCGTCACCCCCGTGGGGGACGCCAGGAGCTTAGCCCCTGCTGGGGAGACCAGGGCTGCTGGGCACCGAGGGGCTGGGCACCTTGGCATTGGAGCCAGCGCCCTTTCCGTCCCCCAACCCTGGGGGTGCCCAGCCAAGGAAGGGGGACCTCAGCCCTGCTGGTTCCAAGAGCCCAGGAGGGGGGGAGCGACCTTGGCACTGGGACCATGGTGCTGCCTGGCTCTTTGGGGCCACAGTCCCCCCCCACTCCACCTTCCCCCTTTGTGGGGGGCGGGGCCGGCAGCCAAAGGTTTCCTGCTGGGGGGAGCCCCGGGCTGAATTTCCCACCATCTGGCGCTGTTCAGCAGGCAAGTCCCTGCCCCGCACGGAGGCCGGCGCCGCGTTCAAGTAATCCAGGATAGGCTGTGGTCTACGCAGTCGGCCTGTTCTCGATTACTTGGCACCGGAGCCGGCCGGCAGCTTCGGGTGGAGACGCCGGAGGGACGCCGCCCGGGGAGCCGCAGGGCGCCCGCTGCTGCAAACGAGCTCGGGGCAGGGCAGGGCTGGCGCCTCCCCCCACCCCCTAAGCCTGCCCCGGGCTCTTCCCCAGCGCAGGGCCCAGCAAGGGCTGCGGGGCGCCTGGTAAGGGTCCCCCTGGATCGGTGGGGGAGGGCTCCCGGGGGGTGGCAGCCGTTTGGTGGCTCGTGGGCAGTGGGTCTGAGGGGGCCCAGTCCCAGGGGCCCCATCTCGCTGGGCGCTGCCCATCTCCAGCCCCACGGCTGCCGGCTCATGCTGCCCCTCCCCCAGGTGTACGTGCTGAAACGCCCGTACGTGGACGAGTTCCTGCAACGCATGGGCGAGCTCTTCGAGTGCGTGCTCTTCACCGCCAGCCTGGCCAAGGTGAGCGCCCGACGCCGGGCAGCTTGCGGGCACCGGCTGTGCCCTCCCTCCCAGCTACAGCCCAGGAGATGGGACTCCCGAAGCCTGGAGAGGACCCAGGAGTCCTGGCTCCCAGTCCGCCCTACTCTAACTGCTAGTCCTCACCCCCGTCCCAGAGCCCGGAGAGGACCCAGGAGTCCTGGCTCCCAGCCCTGCCCCTGCTCTGAATCACTAGCCCCCACTCCCCTCCCAGAGCCAGGAGAGGACCCAGGAGTCCTGGCTCTAAATCACTAGCCCTCACTCCCTCCCAGAGCCCAGATAGGACCCAGGAGTCCTGGCCCCTGATCACTAGACCATGCTGCCCCTTCAGTTCAGCCATTCATCGCACCCCCTCCTCCCCAGTGTCCCCACAGTGCTTCGGGGATGGCGGGTGCCCAGAACCCTGCACAATGGCTTTGGGGCTGGGGCTGCCTGAGTAGGGACCCCCGTGCTCTCAGGGGCCAGGACGTGTCCCCCACGGAGGGGGACCCCCGAGTCCCCTCGGCCAGCAGCCAAAGGGTCCAGGGCTCGGCCGCTCCCCTGCTCCCCTTTGGCCAAGCCTGACCGTGTCCCCCCCGGCCCACCAGTACGCGGATCCCGTGGCCGACCTGCTGGACAAGTGGGGAGCTTTCCGGGCCCGCCTCTTCCGCGAGTCCTGCGTCTTCCACCGCGGCAACTACGTCAAGGATCTGAGCCGTCTGGGCCGGGACCTGAGCCGCATCCTCATCGTGGACAACTCCCCCGCCTCCTACGTCTTCCACCCCGACAACGCGGTAGGTCGCGGCGGGGAGGAGGGGTCCGGGGGGGCAGCTGCGATGGCTCAGGGTGTTCAATGCTTTAACTGGCTTTAACGGGGGCCTGGGTCAGATGCGACGCTGATCACAAGTGAAACGAGTTCGGGGGGGGTCTCATCCCAGTGATTCGATTGCTGCATACTCACCAGAGGGACGGGTTATTGGGTAACTCAGTTCACGTTGTCCCAGGGCTAGGCTAGCAGTCAGGAGTGAGGGGCACTGGCTGAGCTGTGTGTCTGGGGGGAGCCCAGGGCTGGGACAGCATCTCCCTACTGGAATGAATCGGCTCTGCTCAGCTGTGTGTCATATGCCCTGTACTGCTCGCAGCAAATGGGGAGTCTCCCTTAGCGCAGGGGCCTGGGCTTTCGGAGCAGCGTTCGAGTCCTGCTGCTGATATGAAATGCCGGGTGGCCCCAGTGGGCAGTGGAGAGAGGCTGCTCCCCGGTGGTCACAGATTGGGAGGGGCAGGGTGACTGGAGAGCTCTTGAAGGCTCAGAGAGTCCCCAGCTGCCTCCCCCATCCCCTCTCCCTGCCACTCGCTGCAGGGAGGTTCTGGCAGACGCTGCTTTCTCAGAGCTGGCGGCTGGCTCACTCCCATCACACTGGCCTCTGTCCATGGGGAGCCGGAAGAGCCACAATTATCCTGGGGTTTTGGCACTGGCCCACCGGGCCCCTGGCCAGCCGGCCTTTCCTTTCCCCTTAGAGCTTCTGAGTGGGGGGGGCACTCGCTTGGGGACGGCTCCCTTGGGGCTGGCCCGACGCCCTGGCAAATCCGGGCTCTGCACGCTGTGTGGAGGGATCCCTCCCCCCAGGGCTGAGCTGCAGCTGCCTCTGGGGTGGGGCCTGCAGCCACCGTGCGGCCGTTTGGGACAGAAAGCGAAAGCGGCTCCTGTCTCCAATGGACGCAGCAGGGCAGATTTCGGGTGGCAGCCCAGGATCTGATTGGCCGGGATGCCAGGTTAACGCCCCCCGTGGCCTGGCTGGCTGGCACAGCTCGCAGGCACAGAAAGGGGGCGGGCATTTCTGGTGCAGGGCTGAGAGTGCCGAAGGCGCCCGTCTCCCAGCATGCCCTGGGGCAGGGCGCCGGCTCCAGGGCCCGCTCCTGGCTGCGTGAGGCTGGAGCCCCTGGCTGAGCCTCCAGCAGGTTTGCCCAGGGACCCCTGCGAGGGCTGGCCCTGCCCCGTGCTGCCTAGGCACCGCGCCCGGCTAACCTCCCGGGGGGGTCTCTCGGCAGGTGCCGGTGGCGTCGTGGTTCGATAACATGGCCGACACAGAGCTCCTGGACCTGCTGCCTTTCTTCGAGAGACTCAGCAAAGTGGACGACGTTTACACAGTGCTAAAGCAGCACCGGACTAGCAGCTAGTGACCTGGGGCCGGGCGAGATGCCAGCCTGGCGGGATTCCCCACCCCTCCTCCGGCCGGCCGCCCCACTGATCTACCCACAAGCCCCAGCGCCAGCCTGCAGCTTCTCTGGGGCGCGGAACGGAGGCGGTGGCAGGCGGCGGAGGGGCCGGGCGGGGAGCCCCGCGTGGGGCTCACACCCGCCGGGCATGGGGGAGACGCCCGGCTGCATCACTCGAAACCAGCCTCAAACCTGGACCTTTGTCGTCACGTAACGGTTCTTCTCCTGTAAACTGGGGAGGGCCAGAGGGCAACAGAACCACGGCCCGGTCCCCCCTGATTGGCCTGGGGGTCAGAACCACGGCCCAGTCCCTCCTGGTTGGCCTGGGGGGTCAGAACCACGGCCCGGTCCCCCCTGATTGGCCTGGGGGTCAGAACCACGGCCCAGTCCCTCCTGGTTGGCCTGGGGGGTCAGAACCACGGCCCAGTCCCCTCTGATTGGCCTGGGGGGTCAGAACCACGGCCCAGTCTCCCCTGGTTGGGCTGGGGGGTCAGAACCACGGCCCAGTCCCCCCTGATTGGGCTGGGGGGTCAGAACCACAGCCCAGTCCCCCCTGATTGGGCTGGGGGGTCAGAACCACGGCCCGGTCCCCTCTGATTGGGCTGGGGGGGTCAGAACCACGGCCCAGTCCCCCCTGGTTGGGCTGGGGGGTCAGAACCACGGTCCAGGCCCCCCTGATTGGGCTGGGGGGGCTCAGGACCGTGGCCCAGTCCCCCCTGATTGGGCTGGGGGGGCTCAGGACCACAGCCTGGTCTGCTCTGATTGAGCCAGAGGGTTTCAGGACCTCAGCCCGGTCCCCTCAGCTGGGCCAGGGGGTTTCACAGAACCGCGCCCCAGCCCCATCTCGCTTGCCGTGGAGGTGGGAGAGGCAGGTGGGGTTGGTTCCAGGAACGCAGTCCAGAGGTACTTAGCCATGGGGGACAGAGACCCCATCACCCCCCGAGTGCAGGGTGCAAAGTGCCCCCAGGAGGTGGGGGAGGGGGCATTTTTGCCTGCTTTGCCTGGATGGGAATGACTCCAGTGGGCGAAGGGAATTTGGGGGACCTGTGACCCACACGACAGCTGGGTCCTAGATCCTGCCCCCTCCAGAAGGCCCTGGGTTCCTGTTACCCACTGGCGGGGTGCGGGCCCCTTTCCAGGGGAATCCTGCAGGGAAGGGGGGGCAGGAGGGTCAGTGCCAAGTGCTGGGGCCTGCAGGGGTGTTGGTTGTGTGAGGGTGGGCGCTGAGCAGAGGGGGATCGGTTCCCCCAGCAGGGCTGAGAGCGGAAGGACGTGGGGAGAGATGGGGGGAGGAAGGTGCCCTAGAGGAGCCGGAGGGACTCACAGAGACTGTGGGCTAGCGGAAAGGAGGCGGGGCTAGTGGAAAGGAGGCGGGGCTAGCGGAAAGGAGGCGGAGGGTCTGAGCTGAGAGGAGCTGCTGGAGTAGCCCAGGGGTCCTGGGGAGGAGGGTAGCTTGGCCCCCCAGGCTCCAGGCACAAGGGATGGGCACTAAGGCGAGATTTCCTGGGCAGCTGTTAACCCTTTCCCTGCTGGTTATATGGCGGGTGCCCCCCCGCCAAACGGTTCTTACTTCCCCATCTCCTCTGGGCCTCACAGGGAAATCAGATTTCTAGGTGCCTTGGGACTGGGGCCCATTGACCTCTTGGCTTATGCAAATGTTGCCTTTCCCTGCAGTGCATTGTGGGGCTTTAACCCCTCTCCCCCGAGGAACTGCCATGTGGCTGTCAGAAGCCATCAAGGCGCCCCCGTGCTGTGGTTGGATAGAGCAGGCAGTGAGCTGGGCCATTGGGTTGAGCCCACCTCAGCCCTGGACAGGATGGAGGGGGGCGGTGGGATCGCCCCAGGGGAGTCTTGGCTGGCCATGGCAGGCAGCAGCTCTCCTGTCTGAGGGGCTGGGCCTGCCGGCCTGTGAGCTCCCTGGTGGCCAGGGGCTGCTGCATTCCCAGCAGATGAGGTGGGAGGCTGCAGTGACACCAGCGAAGAGCAACTCCATGGGCCTGATTTAGAGAGAGACCACCTGTGCCTGGAAGGATGCCCCTGTCCCCTTAACTCTGCCCTTCCCCAGGGAGCCAGGCCTGCAGGAGTCACACCCGCGGAAACAAGCAACGTCTCTGACTGCAGCTGTGGGCAGGGGGCTCCTTCCTCTGGGATCGTGTCTGTCTCTTCTTTAGTGCCTTCAGCCCTCCCTGCCACTCTCCAAACGGTTGTGGGGGGCAGATTCCTTGGCCTTGGGGCTGGCTCAAACCTCTGCCTTCTCAGTGTTTAGATCCCTAAATGCCCCCAAACCAATCCCTGCCTGCTGGGGGGCGTCCTGTAGAGACTGTGCCTTGGGACACCGTGTCCCGCCCACCCCCTACCCCCTAACCTCTGGGGGGCCAAGGGGCTGATAAATTGCACTCCCAAGGAAACCTTGGATTTGCTCACCGCTGCACTGAGGTTAGTGGTGCTAGCCCCACCCCCCGTAAGTGGGGCAGTGGGTTGGTTCAATGGCTGTTCTGATGGGGACAGGGGTCTCCCTCCTCCCCCTGCAACCAAACTGCTCCCCGCCTCCCAAAGCTTCAGCTCTTACTTTGGGTTCAGGGGAGCAAGGATTTGGACTGGGGCAGAGGGAGACTCTTCCCCCCTGAACCGATTGCCCCAGGGCTGCATTCAGGTTCATTGGAGACCTGCTTTGCATTCCCCTCCCCCAGGCTCCCCACAAGACCCCCTTGTGCCCCACACCGCTAGGGGGTGCCGTCCAGAGATAGCGCCCCCTTTCTATGGCCTTAACTGTTTTGTATGCGAGTTGTTCTCGGCTGTGCCTTGCGGCGGTGGCCGTCCACACGACGCTGCTGCTGATCTCTTTCGCCTTAGCTTGGGGAATGTCCCTCAGGGAGAGGTCTCGGGGGGTGGGGGGCAAGGGCAGGGGGAGTCATGTATTTTAACCGGGCACATTTAGCTCATATAAATATGTATCATGTGTATATATATTTTTAGGGAAAGCAACGGCGACACAAGTCACCAGAGGATTTTTACAGCTTGTATTTTTAACGATGTTCCTGGGAGATGGTTATTTTTCTGGGCGGGGTCGTTCCTCGTGTAAAGAAGCAGGGAGGGATTTGGGGAGGGGGGTGGGTATTTTGTCTGCCGGATGATGTCTGTATTGGATGCACGCAACCCTTCTCCAAATGCCTGCCCGTCCCCCCAAGCCCCAGGGGGTGCCCAGGGCCTGAGATCCAACTGCCTCCGTCTTACAGTGCTGGGTTTTCAAGGAAAGTTTTAGCTCTTTAAAATCTGGGCCCTTTGTGTGGTTTGGTGGTTTTCCTCCCTGCTTTTATAACCGCCAGGTGAAAAAAACTGGGGTTTGTGTGTCAATTTCACACCTCCAAATTTGTCCGTTCCCCATACACATCTATCAATCTATCCCTATACACCCCCTCTATCTATCTGTCCTCATACACCCCGTCTATCTATCCATCCATCCATCCACATACACCCCTTCTATCTATTGATCTATTTATCCATCCATCCCCAGTCACCTCTTCTATCTATCTGTCTGTCTATCCATACACCTGTTCTATCTATCTATTGATCCATGCACCCCTTCTATCAATCCATACACCCCTTCTATCTATCTAGATATCTATCCATACACCCCTTCTATCCATCTATCCATCCCCATACACCCCTTCTATCTATCGATCCATACACCCCATCTATCTGTCTGTCTATCCATACACCCCTTCTATTTATCTATCGATCCATACATCCCTTCTATCTAATCTATCTATCTATCTATCTAAATTAGCCAAAACCTGGTATTTCTGTCCTATGGGAAATTCAGAGATTTTTGAAATTTCGTTTCTTCCAAAATCAGGGCGAAGAGTTGAGATCTCAGACGTTGTCACAAACCAAAGTGTTTAGACCGATTTCGTTTTGACTGTATGGGAACATTTCATTTCCATAGGGTCGAAATGTTTCGTTCAGCGTCTCAGACACGGTTCTAAATGGACTGTTTGGCTAATTTCCCATCAACAGCTGGGGTGAACTTGATATGTCCCCTTGGTGGAGAGAGCTGAACCCACTCCAGTGGGGGGCACTACAGAGCCATCGGCGCCTCTGCAGCACCCCCACCGGGGCAGCATGAATTCTGCTTCCCTTCGCTGCGGGATTCCCCCTTTAGGGCCGCGGCCTCTGCCCGGTGCCCGAGTCTGACGCCCACCAGCTTGGCCTGAGCATCTCGATCTGGCTTTGTCTCTGTCCCCGTGGAGCTGTCGGCGCCCAATCCTGCTCCCTTGGCGGGCCTGGGCCTGACTGGCTGTATTGTAAAGCCCAGCACTTCCCTGGATCGGGAAAAAGCTATCCGTGGCCCTGTTGTGTTGATTGCCTGGGTTGGTTTCATGCCACTGAGGTGCCACCCTGCTACCACTGCCCCCTGCTGGGCACCCCCTGCTTTGGCAGGGCAGGGGCAGTTTTGTTTGGTGACTGCCAGGATGTGGGGAACGCCCCGGCACTGGCGTTTGGAGAAAGGGCTGCGGGCTGCGGCTGCTCGTGTCTTCACTGTGTATCTGTTGGGTAAAGAGACAACCCATGAGCGAATCGCAGCTATGGGAGAGAGAGAAAAAACCCCGATCAAAGTGCCTTTTGTGTGATTAAACTGTAAAATAATCTTTAAAGGAAAAAAAAAATACTGTGAGAACCACCCTGGTTCTGCTGTGTAGTGATTCAGCCACCAGCTCTGGGTGTGCCCCCAGCTGGAGGGGAGGAGATCTGTGGGGGCGTGTGTGTGTGTGTGAGTGACAGAAAGACCCCCCACACACACACTGCATGGCATGACCCCCCGGGGGCAGAACGGTGTGTGCTAATGTGTGTAGTTTACTGCCCCCTGCTGGAGGGGAGGAGATCTGTGTGGGGGGGTGCCGGCATCCACATGCATGGGGGTGACCACATCTCGTTCTCTGCTGGCTGACGGGCTCAGCGTTGATCATGTGGGTCTCGGTGGCCCGAAGCCAGAGCCTCAGCCCGGCCGTGTCCATTCCCCCCTGTGATTGCCCTCAGCAAGGTGACGCGCTCGCCCTCAGCCAGCGCGGCCAGCTCTGGGCCAGGCAGCAGCAGGGGCGGTAGCCCGAAGGCCCAGGGACCGTGCAACTTGCCCGGGGCTCGTACCTGCTCTGTGCGGCACAAGGGGCTTTTTAACCACCCCTCTGCCAGGGTCCGGGCAGTGTCTGGAGTGGCTAAAGCCACCCTCTGCGGCAGTCCATCCAGTGGCTCTGCGAAGGTAAAGGGAGGTGACCGTGCCCCTGTCACCCTGGCCCTGATACGGACCAGCCTTGCCTGTGTCCTTGGGCGGTGGCTTCCAGTGTCCCCAGCTGCCACCCTGGCCCTGCTCGTGTGCTGTGGGTTTCTCACAAGACCCCCTGGGGTCATACGCGACATGCCGGGGCCGGCCCCGTCACCCCCCCGCACACCCACAAACTCTATGAAGGACTCAAATGTGGAGGGGTCAGGCATGGGGTGACCCCCAGCACTGTAGCAAGGGGAGTCTTGTGGCTAAGTCACAGACCAGGGGCTCAGGTGACGTGGCTTCTAATTCCTCCCCACACCCCCCTGCGGGGCAAACAATTGACCCACCTTCCAGAGCCACTGCGGGGGGGCTACACAGCAGAGCCAACCCCCAGGCTGCTGCCCCCATGTGCCAGCCGCAGAAAAGCAGGAGGTTTGAGACCAATTAATTGTGAGTTGGGGGGGGGGGATGGCCTCAGCGGGGGATCCACTCAGCTGGGGAATTCAGCCCCTGGCGTGTCTGAGTGTCGGTCCCATGTCGGGGGCTCGGCCTGTGCCCCCGCTGCTGGCTTGTTGTGCATTGCACTGCCGGGCTGGATGGGACCTCACCACGTCCAGCCCCTTGCACCAAGGCAGGACCGAGCAAGCCTGGGCTTAGCAACCGCCTGTGCCGGGGGTCCCACGCCCACCCGGGGACCCCGAACTCCCCGCGAGCTGGCAGCTCGTTCCCAGTATCCCCCTTGCTGCAGCCCGGCTGGTCTCTCTTGTCTTGCCCTCCTGCCCCCTGACTGCCTCCAACCCGCTTGGCACAGTGCCTGCAAGTGCCAGCAGCCCTGCCCGCGTGACAGACCCACGGGGCTGGCCCTGGGCAAGGCATCAGCAGCCCCCCCTCTGCCCGCGCTAGTCCCTCACGCACTGTTCGCCAGCCTCGTGCCCTTCCGCCCCATATGGGACGACCCCCCCCAACATTGCCCAGCCTCTGCCCGCACACCCCACACAATGCTCCTGCTCAGACCCAGGATTGGGGGGGCATCGCTGGGGGCACGGCCAATAGGTGATCTGGACGGGGGGAGGCTGGTGACAGGTTCACCCGAGCCCGAGCCCCCTCCCATGGGCACCTGCTCTGCCCCGTGCTGGCTCGGCCGACTCGCTGCCAGCCCAGGGCTCTGAGCTCACTCCCCTGGCATCTTCCGGCCCCATTGCTGGGGTTGGCTTGTCCCACTCCCTCATGAATGAGCTGCCTGTCGTCCCTGGCCATGTTTTGCTCCCCCCCCCACACTTTGGTGGACTAATTGCTGGAGTTCAGCTCATTAGCGGGCCGGAGGAGGGAGGGGGCCGGGCTACTCTATCACCAGGCTGCCGGGCAGGGACCCCTCCCTCGCCTGGCCTTGGCTCGCCAAGCCCTGGGCAGAGCAACAACCCGCACCAGCCGAGAGACCCTGAACAAACCTTGGGGCAATAAAGCTGACCCTCCCCCAGCTACTCGGCGCCAGGTAAGGGGGGGCTGCCAGCTGCTGAGTGGGGTGGGCAAACCCGGGTCGAGCCTGCCGCAGAGGCGGCCGGGGCTGGGCGATTGGGAGCAGCCGTCGGCAAAGGCTGGCGTGTCTCTGTTACTGTAGCCGAGGGGCTTGTGCCAGGCCCTGCCCAGCCCGGTGGCCCACAGGCCCGAGGAGCTGGAGGGCACAAGGCCCCGCTCCCCAAGCCCAGCCAGACCGGCAGGAGCTGAGGGCCAGCTGGCTTTACACTGCAGCTTGCGTGTTTTGTGATGGGGTGAGCTGATGGGGTGGCCTGGGGCTGGCTCCGGGACCAGGGGTCCCTTCCAGGCCTGTGTCCACGGGGGCGATGGGACAGAGCGCCGGGGGGCCGCCGGCTCAGCTGGTGAGGGAAGCTGAGTGAGAGGACAGGACACCGTGGGGCAGGGCCCGCCTGGCAAAGACAGCGAGTTTGTCTCTTGCAGCGGGAGGGAGCCGGGAAACTTGCAGATCTGGGGTGTGAGAACCTCCCCGCCCCCCCCGCCCAGTCCGCTGGCCTCCCGCGAAACAACAGCGGTTGCTGGGCCTGCAGCTGGTGTCACCCACATCGCAGGCAGCGACGCCAGTGTGCCTTCCGGGCCCAGTGTCCTTCATGGGGCACGGGCACGGCTCTGCCATGAGCACCAGGCGGGTGCCTGGCACAGTTAGTGCCACTCGTTCTAGCCAGGGATGGAGCCGCCCACTCAGAGAAAGCTCCAGCGGGTGCAGCCACCTGCCCAGCAACACCAGCCGCCATGAGCCCATCCCCCTGGCGTCCTGGCTCCTCAGTGATACAGAGCCCTGTGCAAGGTCTCGGGCCTGGTATTCAAACCCTGTCCCCAGGCACAGCATCAAGCTAGCCAACGGCCTCTGTGTGCCCATTCACAGGGACTGGAAGAGCCGGGCTGGGGGGTCCCAGGCTAAGGGGGCACCCTGTACCCCACACCCGGGGGGGGCGAGGGGGTCTGCTCTGCTGCTGGAAACTCTGACTGGGCAGGGAGCCAGTGTGCCCACAGCAGAGCTGTTTCCGGCATAGGCCTAGTGGGCAGAGATACCCGGGCCCACCCTGAGCCCTGCATTAGGGCAAGAGCGGCGTGGGCCCCACCATGGGGTGCCCATGTGGGCCCCACCTTCGTGGGCACCTGGGGGGCCATGGGAAAGTCCACAGGTTGCAGCAGAGTCAACATTATAAATTACTTCTGTGCCTTCATTTACGCACTGGGCCATAAATGGCCCTGGAGCCGGGGAGGAAATGCTGGTTAATGTTTGAAGAGGCTTGGACTGTGCCACCAGCTAAGGGCCCGATAATGGGGAATGGCCCGGCCTGCCACCCGCCCCAGCCATCACCTGCCACGCTGCAGCACGCACAAACCAGGCCTGGCCCAGGCTCCCTGCCCCCGTCAGCAGGCCCTGGGGAGCTGGCGAGCCAGCAGCGCACCCCTGCGGAGCGCCCCATCACGTGGCCTCGCGCCCGCCCTGCCCGCCTCCAGCCTGGCCACGGGCGTGGTGCTCGGCTTTGGGCTGCGTGAGGCGAGGGTCAGGGCCCAGGAGAGGGGAAGGGGCCCTGCCCATGGGACGCTGCATGTGCCCACGCCGGTGTGAATGATGTGTGAGCATTCACCCAGCCGGCCATGGCATCGTTCTGCTCCAGCCGTGGGAGCTGGCTGAGTGTCTGTCAGACAGCGGGGCCGTGAGCAGCCGTACGGAAACCTGGCCAGTCAGCTGGCTGTCTGGCCCAGCTATTCGGCACAGCGGTCGTATTCCCAAGTCACCGCCCTGCGAGGGTCTGAGGGTGTCACTCAGCCGGACACAGGCTGCAGAGAAAGAGGCGACACCCTCTCCAAACCCAGGCCGGTGGGCAATGAGGGACACTGAGTCATGCCCGAGGGGGTCTTGGACAGGAACCAGCCATGGCTGGGTGAGACAACAGAGCCCCAGGACACACCCTGCTGCCTTCTGGCAGCAGAGCAGCCGATGTCCCAGGGCAGCCGTGCAGGGAGTTGGCTGGCAGCCTCTGGGTGTTGTCAGCGGGGTTGTAGTTGCCTTGTAGTCTCAAGTTCTGGCTGGGAGGGTATTGAGGACTGTGCCTTTAAGGGCTGCGCTTCCCTGCCAGCCAGTGAGGCCGGGGCGCTGTGACACTCTCGTTGTGCGCAGCCAGTTGGACCCGGGCGCTGACTAACCCGTGTCTCCTGCAAGCACCTGACCTGGGGGGCAGTCGCTGGACCCCACACCGAGCAGCCTGGCTCTGCCCAGGAAACAGATCACAACAGCCCTGTGTTGCAGAAACGTCAGTGCCCATGTGGAACACTTGGCCTCACGAGGGCATAAGTGCAGCCAGACTGGGTCAGCCCACGGCCCACCCTGTCCCTAGCCTGTCTCTGACTGTGGCTCATACCAGGGGGGCAGAGGCTGGGTGCAAACTAGGGTAACTATGCAATGAGCCACCCCTGGCTTCCACTCCCAACTTCTGGGCCCTGCCACACCTCGTGGGCCTGCGGCGGTGCTTGAAATCTTCGTCCTTGGGGAAACCAGCTAATGCCTGGCCCTGTGCTCCATCCCCCCTTCCCCATGCTCTTTGTCAGGTCTCAGCTCATGGCCTGTGGAATCATTAAACATCAGGCCCCCTGTCGCTGCTGGGCCCTCCCAGAACATCAGAATGGCCACACTGGGCCAGGCCAATGGTCCATCCAGCCCAGCGTCCTGTCTCCAACAGTGGCCAATGCCAGGTGCTTCAAAGGGAATGAACAGTCCAGGGGAATCGTCAAGTGATCCAATTCCCAGCATCTGGCAAAGAGAGGTTTTAGGGACCCCCACAGCAGGGGATTGTATCTGTGATCATCCTGGCTAATAGCCATTGATGGACCTGTCCTCCAGGCACATAACCAGTTCTGTTTTGAACCCTGTTGTA